TCTTTTTTTATTATACAATCAATATTTTTTCTGAAATAAACATCGTTTTTTATTTGAAATATGTTTTAAGATTATTGTTATTATATTTCCAGTGGCATTTTATTAAAGAGATATTCACTGATGAAGAAAACATATATTAAAAATTAAACTACACGTTAAAAATAGAAAGACGAGAGAAAATAAGATTATAATCTAGTTGAAGCCGAAATTCGTATTAAGGGATTCTTAACATAGGAACTCTGTAACAGGACCGCATATTGGGGCGCTATTTCCGAATCCCGTACCAGCTTTAACATATTTTTGTCCGACCTTTGAATATCTTTTTATTTATATCGAAGCGATGGTCATTAATATCTTAAATCTCAATTTAATATATCTCTGCTATTTAAAAATCAGTGCAAATTTACGGTATATTGAAAAAAACGAAAAGGAGTGACATCCGCCAAATTGCGCAAACGTTCGCCCCCCCACCCCCACTCTTGATATGCTTTGATTTTTGTTTTAATTTTTCTAGTACTCTCTTTATGTCAACTCAAAAATGGGTTTCTAATAAGGAATATATATCTATGGATCATGTTTTAAAATTTCCTTTTTTCAAGTTGGAAAATTTTTACCATATTGCTAAAGTAGACCCTGACAACGTGTTTTGGATGTGATGTCATTGAAACCCCGTTATTGGGGTGCCCAAAGGTCGGTCCTGGGCCCCCTTTTTTCCTTCTATATTAAAATTACCATCTTCTGTCCCCAAATCCCAAATAGTTTTTGCAGAGACATGCTGTTCCCCCAAAACAAATTTTCCCAACCTCCCCAAATTAACTGATTAGAATATGGGTTTTGGGGAGAAACTGGGGAATGGGTTTCCCTTAAAAATGCCAGTCTAATACCAAAATAAGACCAAAAAAAAAAATTATTCCCTGGAAAATTTGAGTCTGTTAAAAAGTTTTTGGCAGATTATCTGCTGACCCTTAAAATTAATAAATATTTGAAAATTAAAGAAAAAATTTTTTTTTTGTGTATATAAAAAAGGAAAGTAAAAAGAATAGCATAAACCCCGGGGCCCCCGGGTTTAATATGCCCCCATCTATTTTGGTCTCCATTAAACTAAACAATATTGACAAAAGTTTGAGATGATCAGAGACGTGCAATATTATGGTTAAAAGGGATTACTCCCCTCACCTCTAGTGTCACAGCCCTGTAGGAAGAACTGGGCTTGGCGATCCCTTGAACATGCAGATTGGACTGTAGACTGATAAGTTTTATAGATATACCATAACGCTAGTTGCAATGAAAATCTCCCAACTTATGTTCAAAACCCACATAGATTAACCAGACATATGCACCCTTATCCTACGTCAGATACAGGTATCCTCCGACTACCATAAGTACCTCTTTCTTCCCTCATAGCATTATACTAATGGAATAAACTTCCCTAGTTACATTGCCAAACCCTGCCCAACCTGAAGCTCAGTTCAAACAGGCAGTGGTGGGTTTGCAGTACTAGTCTTACTCCCAGTGTTTTAAACTATTTTATCTCTATAATTCATCTTGTTTCACACTATTAAATTTTAAACCATGAACTAGAATACATTTACAGTCTCACCTTCCAAGCATGTCAATGTTTGGACTTTTCTTTTTAGCTTTTCTCTTCATCTTTTACTAACAATCCGACGTGCACTAAATTCCTGCCTTTAACACTCGTAAGAGGGGTTGGCAGTATCCAGAGATAGGTAGATAGAAGTGTCTGTTTTTTTCATGTAAACAAATCATAACACGAATACGCCCGTTATAATACCGACTATACATGTCAAACACTAGTGTAAACATTTAACCGTTAAGTTACCTGATAGTGGACAACGATAACGGAAAAAATAGTAATCAAGTGTAGCCAAAGGGGGAAACTCATGCCGAACGTTGCGGCAAATGGCGGATGTCACTCCTTGTCTTTTTTATAATACCGTAAAATTTGACCCGTTTTAAAAGTAACAGATTGGGTTCAAGTGATAATATATTGTTTAAGACCATATGCTCGGATAATACTTAAAGATATTTAGATGTAGGAGAAACGTTTTTAAAAACCGTTACACGATCGAAAATATGCGCCGCAATCTGCGGTCCCGTTTTCCAGTTTCTATGGATTCTAAGGCCTTCTTTAAAGGAAAGAAAATAATAAGCTGGTATATTCGTAACGGTCAGTTTGTGAAATCTTTGACTTACTGTTATAAAAATGTAAACAACTCAACCGTTAAATGATCGCTATTACAAACACACTGGGTGATCAAAACAAAACAGACACAACGAAACAAACTACTAAAAAATACTTTTAATATATTTTACACGTTAAGCCGTCAACATTATAACTTTGACAGGAATGAGTCCAAGTCTTGAACAGTGCAGTTTTAGGACCATGAATAAGTCAACTCATAAAATTCCCAAGGGGAGGGGTTTTAATTTTGGAAATTTTAAGTAAAATTTGGATTTTTTAAATTTCCAAATCTTATTTTTAAATGTTTTTCCCAAAACCTTTTAAATTTTTAAAAAAAAAAGGTTAATGCATACAAGTGTGTGGCTTTGTGTTTGTGGCATGTTTGTTTAGCCCATGTCCTATGCCATAAAAATTTTAAATAAAAAAATTTGTCACAAAGCCTAATGTTTTATATTATTAAAAATTTTCTTTGGGTAGTTTTTTTTTGGGTTTGTTTTTTTCCCATTTAAAGGTAAAAATTTTTTATTTTTAAATCAAAACTTAATAAAAATTTTTTAAAAATTAGTTTTTTTTAGAAACATCCCATCTGTCCCCTTTTTTTAGGATAAAGAAAAAAAATTGTCAAGAATGAATTCAAATGTGATAATGAAAAAAAGGGGGGAAGGGACATTTTATGGAATTGAGGGTTGTTTCAAAATTGGGGTAAATTCATACAGAAAAGGGGGAATAAAATTGTAAAAACTTTTAATAAAGCCCTGCCCTCCCCACATTTTTTTGTGTCTCACGCCCGAGGAATGCATTCCTTTGCCCCTGGAAGTTTTTGATAATGACAGGGACTGACAGATGGCTGGAAATAAAGGGGAAAACATTGTAAGTACTTTTAAAAAAAATTTTGTAAGAAAACATGAACAATTTTTAATTGGAAAATACCCAAAAAATTTAAAAACGTCCTACATTTTAATTTTTGATCAATTAAAAAATTAAAAATCATTTTCTTTGTTTTTCCTTGAAATAAAAACCATCATTCTTTTTAAAAAATATTCATTTCGGAAACCTGTTTTTAAAAAATTCAGGTTATGAATAGAAAAAGATGCCAGAAATTTTTGGGGTTAAAAAACCAAATTTTTTGCATATAAAAGGTTTTAAAAAAGGGTGATGGGAATAAGGACTGCTTAGAAGGGTTTTGTGAAAAAAATTTGCGTAAGTTATTTTTTTGTGAAAAAAATAATGTTATACTAACTTCTTGATCCCGTACCCTTAAAACATTTAAGCGATAAAATTTCCCAAGCAATGCTCAGATTAGTAAAAAAATTAATATTTAAAAATTTTCACTTTTAAATAAAACTGTCCGAGTTTTTAAAAGGTTTTTTTAATTTAAACTTTAATTACAGTAAACTTTTTGTTTTTTTTCGAAAATTTTAAAAATTTGCTTTTTAAAAATTTTTGATCCCAAAAAAACCTTCTTTTTCAAATCAATTTAAAAGTTTAATTTTTTTTTTTAAAATGTTGTATTAAAATAACTGGGAAAGATTTTTTTCTAATTAAAATGAAATGTTTGTAAAAAATATTATTGCCATTTTTCGGGCCTGCTCTTTTTTAAACGGTTGTTTTTTTTGTTTTTTTTTTTTGTTTTTTTGTTTTTCCCAATCCCCCCAAAAGTAGCCTTGTTTCTTTGGTTTAATTGTTTGGGAAAATTTTTTGAAAAACCCCGGGAAAAATTAGTCCCTTTCAGTAAAAATAGTATCTGAAAATTTTTTTTTTTTTGTTGTTTTTTTAACTGGTGAACAAACTTTGTAAACATTCGTATTTTTTAATAAAAATTGGAATATTCCCCCAAATCCATATTTTTAAAAAAATCAAACAAAAAAAATATGTAAATTAAAATTCATTAAAAACAGATTTTTTTTTTAAAAAAGGGGTAATACCTTCAATATTTTGAAAAATCAAATTAAAAAAACGTTTTAACTGTCCATTAACTAGCAAGGGCCGGGGGGGGGTACGTCTTCCCTTATCGACCCCAACACAATACTAGAAATTTTGTAATCCGGTTGTTAGGCAAGGGTTGAATTTTAACTACCCCCACCAAAACCAAAACTTATTGACGTTTCCTAGGGGTTTTTTTAATTTTTCCATTTAATTTTAAAAATAAAAAAATTTAAGGAAATAAAGGGACATTAATGATATAGTAAATAAAAATTTTGTATCCTTTTCCCTCGAAAAAATAAAAAAAGGAAAAAATGAATAATCAACCTGTAGGGAAAAGAAAATTAAATTCAATAGGAAAGTAGTTTTGTTTCCCCAATAATTTTTGGAAAACTTTAATTAATTACAAAATGTCAAATGAGTTTTTTAAACAGAAATTTAGTTCGTTCCCCTCCGTCCCCCTGAAATTATCCCACCCCCAAATCTTTTGATGTTTCTGTTGGGTTTGCCCTATTGCAAAAAACCTGTATGGGCTGAATTTGTCGGGGCCTTCATTCTGTGAACGTGACATTCCTTGTCGTATTTTGAAAATTGATGGCACTTTAAACAATATTAATCTTATCAATTTATTGTGTTTCTGTATTTTGGACGGAAATAATCTTCTATTTACCATGTTTATTATTATCAATTAGAAGAGACACTTATGATATCACTTCAATGTGTACTTGTAGGCAAACTTAAACGAGTTTTTAGAAATGTAAATGAAATATAATGAAGCAATAATAATAAGAAAAACATTTATTACTTGAGCGAACCAACTTTTTTAAACGAAATGTAATTATACAGAATTTTTCCTATGCAGTTTCTATTGCAGCAATGACAACTTTATCGTCAGACCCAGTGCCAGGCTCTAGTACAAACACGAGCACGTTTATTGAGAACAAAGTGGATACCAATAACGACCACAGATATAGCACCGATATGCGTGCAGATGATGTAGTCGAAATGACAACTTCATCGTCAGGCTCTGACCCCAGCTCTAGTACAAACACAAGCAAGTTTATTGAGAACAAAGTGGATACCAATAACGACCACATATATAGCACCGATATGCGTGCAGATGCTATAGCCGAAATGACATCTTCATCGTCAGGCTCTGACCCAAGCTCTAGTACAAGCACGAGCATGTTTATCGAGGCCAAAGTGGATAAAGACAACAAACGGATATACAGTAATGTCATCATTCATCAATTACAAATAAAATCCGCAGGAAAGTGCAAACCACTGTAAAGAATTAATAGATATTAAAAACATATTGAGAAAAAACATAGCTCTAGAAATCTATATTTATCGTTCATAACGGATGTAGCTATGTACAAAATTAAATAATCTCAAACAATCTCAATATAAATCAATCAGCAGAAGAGCCAAAAACAAAGCATCATAAAATCACATGTAAATGTACCTTTTTTCTAATATTTGTATAAACGTTCTTCTTTTATTATAGCCCTGGTTGTGTTACTCTCAGTTGGTGGCGGTTTCATCGTGATATGTGCGGTCACTGTCGTGATTTGTATTATAAAGTTAGTATATGTTACACGTATTTCATCTCTAAAGCTGTTCTACATTTTATTTCTTAGTGAGATACATGACCTATACACTTTATAATGATAAACTAAGTTCTTCAAACAAGGATTGTGATTTTTTTCAATCTTGCGGTGAATAATGTTCAAGCATTTCCGTGTTGCATTGTGGATGTTGCATTGTGGATGTTTAACATTTCTTTGTTGCTGATTAAAACTGCATTGTCAGTACATTGACTTATCAATGTAGTCACAAACGCACCCTTAAGTAACACGTCTTCTGCTGTAATAAAAGTAATATTACTTTATTGTGTTTTTTTTTTAAAAAAACTTCTGGTGCAATGTTGGATTTATAACCTGGTATTTTATTTCAGGCGCCGCGCAAGAAAAAGACAAATGCCAAACAATAAAAACAATGCATACCCAATGTTGGACGTAGTACCTAACACACACAAATGTGCAAGTAATAATCCTACTTACGGCAAAACTGACACAAATTTGTATGAAGGGCTTGACAGGCGTGGAAATGCTTCATCGGAAGATCTGTACCAGCAGCTTGGTTATAGCAATCGAGATATAATGTCTGCACATCTAGAAAGGTAATTATACAAAAACGTGTTATCAAAAGTCGATTGTAATATAAACAGTCATTGGTTTGATAAGTATGATCAATTTTAAACAAAAACAAGTAATACTTTATCATTTCTTGATTGTTTTAAGGGCTCGTGAAGGTTCTTGAGAATGAATTCTATATAGCTCGTGTTAGCGATGCTGTATGCGACACCGTATATGATTCAACACCAACAAAAAATGACATTTAAAATCTTAGGAATATCTTAACTTTTATTTTATTTCAATTAAGAACATAACTTAATTGTCCGCTTGTGTCGGAAATAATGCAGAGAAGTCAATTGGAGACAACTAACTGATTACTTACTTTAACATATTTTCACGATGCGTATTATTTTTTATTAAAGCCGTTTTAGCACACAATTTAAAAACACTTTCTGTTGATTATTTGTAATTACTGTGTTTTCTTTAGGTAACGCCTAAATGTCCCCGGGCCAGCTGACCTTAACAAAAGTAATGTATCAGTCCTCGATATCCAATAAATAATGTTTATTATACTACATGCGGCTCACAATATCTCACAAAGACTTGTTCTTGTTTATCTTGAAGGAGTTTTCATATTTTGTTTCTTTTGTTTTTAGTCAATATGTAAATACTGGAACATGTTACCAACAATCACACACGGACAGACGAGAGTGTAGCAAAGATAACAATGATGAATATGAAAGTTTGTAAACTAATGCGATAGAGAGAATGCATCAATTAATGAAATAGAAAAATATTACGTAATTCTAAATACTTTCATTCTGTGGACAAAAGGTTAAAGCATACGCCTTATCCGGAAACCACCATGTATTTTTAAAAAGAATTTCATGCTGTTTATTTACTTTTGTAAGATTTCCTTGAAACAGAACACATATTTCATCCATTCTTTAATAAAATAAAGTTGATACAATATAACAGCCAGGAAACTAGATAGATAGATACGGGATGATAGTCATTCCTCGAAGATGTTTACCTGTGTATCAATGTGGCTTTGATGTCAACTGTCAACTTTTATACGCAGAAAAGAAACAACTTTGTTACCGTTTTTTCGAATTTTTTTATCAGAGGATGACTATGGATTCTTACATGTCTATGATAAATTTATGAAATTTTCGTTCAAACGGTCTACAAAAGGTACTGACTAAAATGACATTTTTTTCTACTTAATTCACGCGATTTATTTCTAAAAAATTCGAAATTTGTAAAAAAATACAATGTTCTAGATAATGTTGAAATTGATTCACGTTTAGCTGAATTGAATTATAGATGAAGCTGTACACAAATACACATGTTATTATGTTTATAATTTTGTATGTAAAGCTGCATATTGATAGAACGAATGATTTTTTATTGTGCGTTTAATTAGCATTTTCATACATAGATATTATAAAGGATCATAGTGCAAAAAATCTAGTTTCATGATTACTGTTGTTAAAATGGACATAAAGTTATGATATTTTGTGTTATATTTAGCTTAAGAGATGTTGTACACAATGTATCTGTTTTATTATCCAGATTTGTCTTTGAAATAAAATCAGAAGAAAAGTCAATTTTTTTTTTACTTTTTAATTGCCGACTATCCCTGCTAGAGATTGTTCTGATTTTGAGGTTTTAGCCTTAACATTGCTTTGACATCTGTTGACTGATCTTGCATTTTTACACTGCTAGGAAGTGAGTTCTTTTTTCTCTTTTTTTTCTCCATATCTTTTGTTTAACTGAAAATTTAACTAAAACAAAAATTTATATATATTTACTTTTCTTCCTGTTTGTTGTTTCTCAATCATTAGGTTGAATTAACTCCAATCTTTCTTCAACACTACACAAAGATCGCTAATTTAAAGAAATGTTAAAATGTTCTTAGTTTTTTTTTCTTTCCTCCCCGTCACCCTTTTGTGTGTCACACATGTCTCATACTGAATCTTTATTATGTTTCTTCATGTTAAGAGACATTCCATATACAGTTTGCTTATATTTTCCGAGACATTGTTTAGGAAATAATTATCAATTTTGAATGCATTGTTGATGTAACATGCACGGTTGAATTAAAAAAAATAAACGCGCATTATAACAGTATAATGCACGAAACCTGAATATCTATTTTCCATTCTGACATGCTAATTAAAACGGGAATTGATAAAAATATGTTGAACTATATAAAGCGTAGAAGTAATTTTCTTGACCTCATTTGGTTTATAGATGCCATATCTGACGCCATATGACGTGTAAGCATCCCTTTCAATGCTGTGAATACATCTTGTCATAATGCACCTGTTTCCCCTATCTGTTTGATAGAAGAATAACATAAAGGTTGTTAGAATTTATATTTTATATCACATTTTCTATAAATGATTTGGACTAAGTTTGTCCAACTTTAGGTTACACTTTGGTTTGGAACGTTGTTTTTTGTTCGTCAAACTTTATGTCAAGCTTTCTTTTGATACGTTATCAATAACTTTGACAACAGAAAATAAAACTTCTGACATCGGTTTGCTGTAAGCCATGTTCAGTCCTTACAACGTTTTGGCTTTCTCCGTGATGCAACCCCAATGAAGAGCTAATTTAAAATATATTTCCTGAAAATTCACCCTTTCTTATTATTTTAATACACAAAAGGCTAATTCAAGATACAATGAAAGAAAATATGAGATGATTTATCTAATAGTGCCAACCATGTAAGGTACAATATTGAAAGTTGCACTGTCAGGAACACTGGTTGAATCTAAACGTCATTCAGATAAATATTCGGAACAAGGGAGACGACTCGGCAGCAACAAATAGAGGATGTTGCATGAGTGTAGGTTTAATACTAAATGTATTGAACGAGTTGAATAAAATCATATTATGTGAGTCTCTGGAACAGGCCTTTCAAATGTTAGTTATAATATATAAACAGGAAAACACACACGAAAAATTGCAACAAGGACTCGAACGACGCAGTCCTTCGATTGTCGGTTCAGTATGCTCACCACTTCACCACAGGGAACATTGCATATTTTCTGCGTGCTTGTTGACATGATCGATTAAAGTTATTTTTTAACTTACATTCTGTGGGTATGTTGTAAGATTTGGCGTTGTAATTGTAATAAAGAATGCATTCTATCATTTACCAAGACGCTATAGGTATTTTGTTCTACCGATACATTTGTATTTATAATTGTCATGCTAGCTTTCATTAAATAAATCAAAATGACTTAATTAATGACTTGATTTCATTTAAATTTCAGTTTCGTCCCTGTTTTCTACGTCTGGAAGGCGAGCAACACACTTCAAGTTGAAACAATTACACATAGGAATGTAATTAAATTTCATCTTGTCAGTGACTTATAACGTCTATTCTAATCAGAATTATTTTTGATTGATCCAACGACTAAGAAAACTGAATGTTACAATAAATATTACTTCTCATTAATAAATTATTGAAATTCTTCGGTCATTTTTAAATATAAGGTGTAAGTTAACATGAATACAAAAACTAGTAAAAATATTGAATGATTCATATAATGCTATCAGACAGAAATGATCATGATAGGACTGATTTTGTTGTGTTAAGACTTTCAGTCGTCAGTAAATTATTTCTAAACCAGGCTCGCACACAACTGGTTTATATAGTTAAAATATATATAGAAATAACATGACGTTGTTTTCTTACCTGACAGAATCACCAAGCAAGCTTCTTCATTTTTGAAACTATCATTTTTAAGGACAGAAAGCATAAGATTTCGATCCTTTTGTGTGAACGTATTATGCTTGCTGACTGTACTTCATTGTCGTTGACTTTAAAGCTTAATGTTTGAGGAATCATATCATCCTTTAAAGAAACGAAATGTCGACCTCTGAAGGTATTTCAGTTATCAAACACTCACATAATATCTGCTGAAATCTTGGAACTCTAGTAATAGTTATGTAGACAAGTTAATGTGCCGTCACATTGTCGTTGCTGCATATTTCTACAAATAGATCTAACAAAACAAGAAACGTTTTAATTACATTATGATCGATTTATTTTATGCTTAAAAGTGAATTACTGATTTATCCGTGAAAATTATATTTGATAGTTTCACAGTGAAAATTATCAAAATATAATTTCACACTTTTAAAGAAACTACTTTTTAAGGACTAGCCCATGTTTTAGATCTACCTCAATTTTATTTTTGCTTACGATTCTGACATTGTCAGGACTGTTTAGAGCAAGCCAAATGTGAATTTGATAAATACATGCATGTAAAATTAAATCCCTATGAATCAAACACATTTAATTTTTTCCTCCCGTGAAAGACTCAACTTTAAATATGGCGGTCGCTGACATTTCAAAGGCTAATCTTATATAAACTTTCGCCATGTAACTTTTCTTCTCCAAGAATCGTTGTTTTAATTATCAAAACAAGCGATCATTCATTGTTTTGTATAAAACAAATATATCATCACAACTTAACGTTGATTTTTGTACTTATTTTCATGCTTAAGACTTCATGTTTTATATACGTCTGGAATTGAAGGATACCAGCGGGGAAAACATATATTTAAGTTAATATCGAGAACATTTCAGTTAAAGAATAAAATAAAAAGAAAATGTGTTTTTTTGTGTCAGATTATATTTTATTTCATCTCGTGAACTTCAAAAAACAGTATTCGCACTCGTGGTATGCTACGCCACTTGTGAGAGTACTGGTTTTAACGCTTACTCGCTCGCTGAAATCAATTTTCATCTTACACAAAAACAAATAGCCTCTTTATCATACTTTTGAATGTAAATTTATCTAGCAGTATACGCATTCCTAATAGAAATATCAATATGGTGTATTCACTCTGCATATTCATTATATTCTATTTTGAAATAATTCACACTCGGCATTTTCTTCCAAGAAAGGAAGAAACCTAGTCGTCTGAATTATGCATCAAACAACATATGTATAAAAGTAATACATGTATACGTTAGTTAACTGCTCGAGAAAATATAGACAACAATGGCACCTCAAAGACGTGGGCAATATATTTCCGTGTGCAAATTTGATTGAGTAATAAAAAATGTATCCTTCAATTAGGAAGGGATCCATTCATAAACTTTGTTCAAAACATGCTTTAACTTTATTGTCCTTATGCTAGGAGAATTACCACAATCTATGTCAAAAAAGAAGTTTTTTATTTAAGTTGTCAAGCTGATTATTGTTTCTCTGCTATTTAAGATATTATTCTATAACTCTTAATTTCAGCATCAATAAGTTTCCAAAGACCTGAGACGCATCATAATTGATTTAAAAAACACCAATTATAATAATCATTAACAACTACAACAGATCAAACGAATTATTGTGTTTTGCCTCAGGACTATGATGTTTAGTAGATTGTCCTACATAGTACGGAATGATAAATGTGTACTGACAGAAAATTATCCCTTTTATATAATTTACATAAACAGTAATCACATAGTACATTGTATTCTCACTCCGATATAAACTTTAAAAATCTTTTTGAATAACATTGTCTCATTATGATTAAATTCTTTAACCAAATATTAAACAGATATTGAGTGGACACAAAATTTGTAGTGTACCAAGGAATCCAAACGTGCAAGTTTAATATTGCTGCATTATCGTTAACATATCTACAAAGAAGTTTTTTCTATCATTTCCTATATACCGAGAGGACACAGCATTTTTTAGTATTATTAGTAAACAAGTCAGTATAATGCAATGATGTAAAAAGATTTCCCAAAATAGTTTATGGGATATTTCGTAGTTAACATTAAACAGTGAAGTTTTGAATTGATTAGCTTATTTATTTCCCATTGCTATCGTTTAATTCGCCTATGACATAAATAACATGAGTTTACTTACCATGAATACAGTATATAATAAGGAAGAAGAAGAATAAAACCATCATTGTCTCATTATAATTAAAATGTTTGCAAAATATTAAACACATATTTTGCCGAGACAATATTTGAAGTGTCCAGGAATCCAAACGTGCACATGTGCATGTATATTGCAGGAACATGGTAAACATATCTGCTATTTCCTTTGATCGTTGAAGGCATAACATTGTTAAGGGACTGGAGAACGACAAAGGGCATAACAATTTAAGCTTGAATTCTTTTGGGTGCATTAAAGAGAGTGGAAGGTGACAAGAATCTTTTTGTATTACACATGCACACTTATTATTTAATACATTATCCCTCTGCTACAAATAGCTAATACTGTCGATATTCAATATTCGCGTTACATTTATATATTTTGACGGACTTTTCGAGAGAAAAATGCACATTATCCCAAGTTTATCCATCCATCCCTCCCTCCCTCCCTCCCTGCCTCCCTCCATCCATCCATCCATCCATCCATCTATCTATCTATCTAAACAAACAAACAAAAAAACAAACAAACATGTATGCGTCATTTTATAACGTACTGTTCATAAAGCCTGAAACAAACTCGATATACTACGAGATTTAAAAGTACATGGTGTGGAAGCTCATTATTGTCAAAGAAAAGTAAATATCAGCTTATGTATACATATGTATATATCTCTATGATTATATGAATGGGTATTT